ATTAACATTGAATATGAAATCTTGAGAAATAGAAAGGAAAATCCTCCCTCTCTCACTTAATCCACTGAATCCCCCTGAAATGAGGAGCAATCCCAGATGATTATCCCAAAGCAGAATTCATCCAGTTCACTTAGCAAAGTCCTCATATTTGAATATTGACAGAGGAACGTATTTACGTTTGTCTAGTTCTTTTTCATCAAAGTTTACAATAAACAATCCCTTCTTGCTTTGCTGTCCGTTTTTCACAGATTTCTTGCCAGAACCTTTGTTTTCTCTCAGGGGTTCAAATAAGCACAAAACAGAGTACCATCATAATTTTTCTGTTGCTCCCTCTCTAGAGGGTGTTAAATATTAGGGGATCACCTAAAAGAAAACTACCCACTGCCTGCTATTCTCAGTCACTTCCCAACCTCTGGTCTATTGCCTTATTTAAGGAGAAAAAGATATCAAATACCCCAGTCATTTTTAAAATTTTCCCAGAAAAAAAGAGGTTAATAAAAGAGCCAGAAAATCCCCATGTATCAAACATTCTGCTGCTTAGAGTATCTAGTTAAATAAAAGTTGAGATTCCACATGCTTGACCCACCAGTTCCCATTTACAGCTGTGAAACATGAGGCTCAGAGTTGGTGTTATTAGCAGTAGTATTACTAAAATGTTGTAACTAAACTCAAATCTTGGTCTTCAGTTTCTGGAACCTATGCTTGTTCTAACATGCACACCACATCCCTTCTGGAATAAAGATCCTCAAAAGAGAAGAAATGTTGCTAATGATAAGAAAAATACCATCAAGTTCCAGATTTGACTTGTGATGACTGCTCACATCTATTGTCCTTGAGGTGTGAGTTGATCTGTACTTCAGAAGAATCCAGATAGATTGATGCTACCTGCTGTCTGCTGCCCATCTGGACCCTCCCGTGGGCTGGCTCTCTGTGCTGCCTCATCAGATACCTTCCCTGTTCCAGGGTGATTTCAAAGGCCAGCCTTCCCTTAGCACATTTATCTTCAACCCCCAGTGCACAAGCAGAGCACACACTAGACTAACTCATTTATTTCTACTCATTTATTGATGGCCTTTCATAACCAAGTTATTAAGTCATCAGTAACTTCAGAGAAATAAACGAATGGATCCGGAACTGGGTCAACAGATATTTAAGACATATTCTGAACATTTTATCTAGGATCGGTATAAATGTCAATGCTGGGTCATCAGTGGTATTTTCCCCACCTGGGAAAACATATTTCACAGGTGTTTTATTCTAATTAGATCCAAGTTTATTCCTCATAAAGTATTGAAATAAATAGCATCTCCAGTCACCCACATAAAATGAAGGTTTTTAAAAAAAGAGATTGCATGTGTTAATAATTTTCCAAAATACTACCTAACGTGTGTTGCTCCCATCAGCTGACCATAAATATCCCTGGAAGGTTTGCCAAAAATAGAGTATAAGCTCTTTCAGAAGTGCTTATGAGTTCTGATATATTCCCCTCGGGAAATAAAAAGGAGAGGAAAAGGAGAAAAAGAGAGGATTTCTAAGACCTTGGGAAACCCTTGAAACCAGTATCTAGAAGACTAAAGAAATTCCCAACACTAAAGTTAAGCTTCTATGCGGACATTTTCAAAGCCACTGGCAGTTCACCCAGCTGAGGGGAACCCTGCATTTTCGTTATGTTTCAGGGTATGTATACCTGCTATATCTCAGCCTGCAGGAGGAGCATTCCACTGTTTTGACCTCCCCTTTTGCACTAGTTTGCTCTCCATTTGTATCCTGGGGCCCCATCTAGATAAGAGAAATCTTGCCTGCTTAGGGCCTCAGTATTTTTGGAAACCTATATGTATCCCAGTTATATCAGTTTCCTCATCTGTAAAATAGGAATAATAATAGACCACACGTCATCAAATAATTATAAGACTCTGAAGTGTTAATATATGAAAAGTATTTAGAATGGTGTCTGGCATATGGTAAGTGTTCAAGAAGTACAGCTATTACTGTTGCCATTAATAAAAAGTCTTTTCCATATGATTAGGACCTAAGAGACCAGCCAGTCCAATTTCCTCAATTCATTTTACAGACAAGGAAACTGCAGCCCAATGAAGTTACGTAGCCTATTAATAGAATGTCCGTGCTTTTGAATTAAAGGCTGAATTAGAAACCTGCAGAAAAACATTCTCTCTGGAGTCCGGCAGTCCTAGACTAAAATTCCAATTGTTACCTTCTAGTTGTGTGACTTTGAACTCACTTCTTTCCTTCTCTGGGACTCTCTAAAATCCCTATGTGCAAAATAGGTACAATACTACCTACCTTGATAGAGTATTGTGAGAATTGAAAAACAATGACTGAAAAACTTAATGACTGGATAATGTAACTAGCATTCTGCCTGGGAGTTCATGGGCATTCAATAGCTTGGGCCCATCATTATTAGGAACATCATTCAGCTGCAGCACTGCAGACTGGCTACCGGAATCCCGGCCCCTGATTGCCAGTATAGCTCACCACAACACTGCCCACCCTTACATTTAAAAAAAAAAAAAAAGGAAATTTGCTCTCATTCCTTTTTATCAGCTTTTTAAACGACTTTCTAGTCATCAGTAGATATTATCCGCTGTCAAAAATCACCTATGATTATTGATGGATAAAAATCTGTGTATCCTTATTCTTAAAGGAAAGGGTGGGAAAAAAGGCAAGTCCCCACCCTTGGCCCTGAGCTTTTCATAACTAGTTTAGCTCAACATGAGCAGTTTTGCTTTGCCAGATGAACCCCAACATGCTGTTGAGAAACAGTGGCTCAGAAACAATTTGAGGATGATGAAAAAAACGCTGTGTGCAACAGTGATTTTGCAAATCTGACACCTTTGCTCCGGTAGAAATGCTTAGAGAAAGGTATGGGGAAGGACAGAAATGGAACCAGACACCCTGGTTTCCTTTCTTGAGGAAATATGCGTAAATTCTGACTATAGATAACAAGGCATGGCACTCCAGCCCTATCAGAAAACAGAGACCTGTGGAACTCTAATGTCCAGGAAAAGATCATCAGTGTCCCACAGCAGGGATTGGGAATAGGAATGGATTCCATGACCAAATAACTTTGAGACGCACTTCCTGTTGAAGATTTGCGATGCTCATTTATAAATGAAAGAGTGAGAAGTTCTACATTTTCCTTTCTTTTATTTTAGGTTCAAGTGTACATGTGCAGGTTTGTTATATAGGTAAACTTGTGTCACAGGGGTTTGTGATATAGATTGTCTCATCTCCCAGATACTAAGTCTAGTACCACTAGTTGTTTTTTTCTGACCTCTCCCTCTTTCCACCCTCAAGTAGGCCCCAGTGTGTATTGTTTCCATCTTTGGGTCCATGTGTTCTCATCATTTAGCTTCCACTTATAAGTAAGAACATGTGGTATTTGGTTTTCTCTTCCTGCATTAGTTTAATAAGGATAATGGCCTCCAGCTCCATCTATGTTCCTGCAAAAGACATAATCTCATTCCTTTTTATGAGTGCATATTATTCCAGGGTATATATGTACCCCATTTTCTTTATCCTGTCTACCATTGATGGGCATTTAGGTTAATTCCATGTCTTTGCTATTGTGAATAGTGCTGCAATGAATGAGAAGTCCTCCATTTAAGAAACCTATTTAACACTGTAGACCCCATCCTTTCCTGAATGATTAGCACAAAATTTCCATCAACATCAAGGGAACAGTGATACATTAGGAGACACTGGTAAACTACAAGGCTTGAAAAATCAAAGATCTTAAGACAATCAATGAAAAAGACAATGAAAAGTGTGGGTTTTAATTTCATTGTGAGTCTCTGCTTCAGCCATTTTAAACAAAGAATAAATGACTGACTAAAAGCAAAGCACCCTTTGCTTTCTTGTGGGGGACAGAACAGCAGCGTCTACTGGTACACATATGTTTCAGGGGTTGAACACAGCCTTTTGTGTCCAGCTATTTATCATTAACCAATGATGGAACTGGCTAGAAAAGGACAAAAAAATAAAAGCAAATCAATTTGAGCTTATCTAAGGGCTGTCTGTGGAGCGTCCAGTTGACTTTCATTGTCTTCCGTGGGTCGTTATATCCTCAGAAGACTATTCATATTACTACTGGACTGCAATTCATGACACAGTTTGGGCATGAAAACGGGGGGTCCAGACATAGCAACAAAGCCCACATTAAGATATATAAATGTTTTTAGTGATGAGGATAATTACAACTGATTGAAATTCTCTTAACACACAAAATGGAATACAGTAAAAATGCCACTGGATACCCTCCTTATATTTTTTTATCTGTCTCTAAAGCTCACAAAATTTTACTTTCTTTCCTTTTTTATCCACATTTCATCCTCTTCTCTCACAAAAACACCCATCAAACACTTTCTTTTCCTCTTTTGTCTTTAATTCCTTATCATCCTCTCACCCTTTATGGCCCTTGTGGGAAAGAAAAAAAAGAGATAGACAAGCACATTCAATTGTTGCAGTCTTCTCATCAGGAATGTCTATTTCAAAACTCTTCATAATCTAAGCAGAAATATATCAAAAGTCAACCAATAGCCTTTGGCAGTAATCTATCAAATAAAATGAATAAAATATAGCATAACACTTATTAGACTATTATCCTCACTTTAGCCTTGACCTTTTGGTAATCCATAAATAAATATCATCCAAATTTGACACAAGTAAACTGTAAAATTCCCACAACAGCACTATGACAGAAATGTCATTTTTATTGATGTCAAAATAGCTTTTCTTAGCTATTTAATAAAATTGGGATTATTAAGAAAAGTAAATGTTGAAATACTCCAAAAGGGTCTCATCCACATAGCAAGATTTATGAGCTACTTTGCCTGGCAACTGCTTCACCATTTAGATGAAAATGCCTATACTTAGAAAGGTTTTTTTAAATGTAGTTAAATTTAATTTGGTTTGACATGTATTTTTATATTAAAATGTGTTTGACTATTTACCCATTGCCTTTTTTTATTGTTTCTCCCCAGGAAGCAAATAACTTGGATAAAAACACGACGAAAGCAGAGAGTGCTCGGCTCTTCAGAATGTGGTATGGCTTCGACCACAAGTATCCTTTGATAATAATGATCTCACAGATCCTGCTGCAGGCAGAGAATTACTTTAAGCTCTTAATCATTGAAGTGTGCACTCCTGCTCTTCAAGAAACACCGAAAGGTAAAGTGAATTCACAGCCAAACTTATAACAAGGAATGATTTCATAAAATAAAAAGCAGGGTAGTCCATACTTAAGTGTTTCAGAGAGCTAAAGTGAAACTTCTCAGAGTCAAATTTATCTAGTGTTTTCCTGACTGTAATGCCAGTTGATAAAATCATATAGTCCTGAAGAAGCTGTTTTGCTGTTCTTCCCTTTGTAAAGCTCCTACTTCTGGTCAAATTGGTCAAATAGGCCCGCTTGATTAAGGGCATTGTATGAACAGTTTCAGCAGCCTTTGGCCAGGGTAACCCAGCCAAAGCTCCTGCACCCTTCTCCCAGGAAGCCATTGGTGTGCTTTTGTTTCATGCTATAAAAAATGAAGGAGTGGGAAGGAGTGGGGACAGGGGACAAAAATAAATGGGGCCAAGGAGATGAATCCAGTGCATCAGAGTTCATCATAAAATAGCACCGCTTTGTTTTCCAGGCAGACTTGAATGAGCTTTTTCCACTGAAGGGCAATTTTAAAAATCTGGCAATCACTGTAAACATAGTAGCTCAGATACACCTTGCAATGTGATTCGTGGGGCTAAGTCAGGCCTGAAGTGTTTTGCCATTGTGAGCTGCAGTAAGCAGTCTGTCTCTAATCCCAGGCAAAAGCTCCAAGGAAGAAAGGAAAGGACTGCGCTGTAAATTGAATGTGTTGGGTCTTTATAGCTAGTTTTCCAGTCACAAATCCCTCTCCTTTCAGTGAGAAAATGTCAGTCACTGGATGATTTTCAGTGCCTAAGCAAAAATGATTAAAGCCAAACAGATCAATGGGAGAGAAGGAAGAATTAAGAATAGGGAAAGGAAATTCAAAGAATAGGTGAAGAAAAAGAGGTGAAAATGGACAGGGAGAGGAGGCAAGAGAAATATAGGAAATTTACAGCAGGAAGGAAAGGAAAGCAAATTAGAGGAATGACAGGAAAATAGAAAGCAAAAATTAAGAAAGAAGTGAAGAGAAACCAATTGAAGATTGCAGAGATAAGCAAAAGTAAAACAATGTGCGAATTAAAAAGCAATTTTGCAAAAGTAGAGCATTCCAAGAATTATGAAATGGTGATGTGGAAGATAGAGGATTTTTGAGGTTAGAGTTTGCTTTTTTTCATAGCTCTGTTACCTATGGCCAGATACCCTTTCTTGCTCAGTCTTCAGTTTTATGGACAAATGTAGGTTGCCACCATCTTGAGAGAAGTCCATCTTAGCCATCAATTATTTCTTAAAGGTTCTGGTATCTCATTAACTACCTGAAAACTTTCTGATCTCTCTAAGGGAATCTAGTTCTTAGAAAGTTATTGCTGGTTTTTGCTCCTGGTTGATCTCTCTTTGGAAGCAGAATTTGCCCCTGCCATTGCTTTTAAGTATCTGATAACCCAGTTTGTTCAAAATTATAAAAATTTGACTAAAGAGTAAACACAAAGAGATGTACAGAAAGAACTCGGTAAATCAGAAATGAGATAAAAGATGTTTTTGTTCAAATTCTGACAATGCTATGAAGAAAGCTTTACAATGAAGAAAAGGAATAAAGTGAAAAAAAAAAAAAAAAACCTTGAAGACAAGAAAATAAAAGTTGGAGCCCATCAAAAATTTTAGCTTAGGGCAGTGACACTAAATTCAGATGATGTCATAGTTTTTGTCTCACTTTTCATTAGGGGTTTATTTCCATATGATTATAGACAGACTAGCAAAAATAAAAGCAGATTTACACTCTCAGTCATATCTCTTCTCATGGTAGTTTATCCTCCTGCACATTCATTCTAGAAATTGCTATGCTGCCACCACTACACAAATATATATTCACTTAGATAATGAAGTTTTTGTATCTTAGCTATGCTCTGAATTTATACATAGAGAGTAGCAAGCAAACAGTTTCAACTATGTGGCCTCTTAATATATCTGTTATTTTAGAGCAAATTATCCATTTGGCATTTATGTTCATTCTATTGTTCACCCAGAACCTAGGCAGTGTGTCCTGTGAACCTCATAAGTTAGGCTATGCCAGCCACCACCAGTGTAGAGATTAGCCCCTCACCCTGAGATCAGTTTGCTGGCCTGAACCAAAGAGAAATTGTCACAAGGCTGAAAGAAACTGGCTGTGTAGTTTGGAGCTGTTAAAGTTTCATTTCAGTAAAAATGAATCATGCAAATGAGGTATCACAGATAATTATTGACAAAAGAAAAAGAAGAATATGTAACTTTATACACACCTATATCAGTCAGGGTTCTCCAAATAAACAGAATCAGCAGAAGTGCTTTACATATCATATACATATAGATTTATTTTAAAGAATTGTTTATACAGTTGTGGGGGCTGGCAAGTCCAAAATTTGCAGAGCAGGCTCTCTGTCTGGAAATTCAGGCAAGAGCTAATACTGTGTAGTCCTTAAGCAGAACCCTTTCTTCCTCAGAAAAGCCTAAGTTTTGCTGTTAAGTCCATGCAACTGATTGGATGAGGCCACAAACCGTATTGAGGATAAACTCCTTTACTTAGTGTCAACTGCAGATATTAACCACATCTACAAAATACCTTGGGTGTCAACAATGACACCTAAGTTAGGGTTTAAATGAATAACTGGGTAGTCTAGCCAGGTTGAGCCATAAAACTAATAGTCACATCACCGAATTTATATTCAATTAATGCTTAATATTCAGACTCAAAGGTAGAAAACCCCTCTTAATTTACTATTGTTATCAATAAAACCAGTCACTCACATAGTTTTGTTTTTTTCTTTTTCATAGCATAAGTAGTACATACATACCGTCCCCTAAAAGTTTTCCAAAAACTACAGAATAAAAGTTATAAAACTTAACATTCAATGATGATGAACAATGCCAAGCACTGTGTTCAGTGGTTTACATTTATTACTTCATTGCACCTCCCCAGCTCTGCAGGAGGCTGGGAGGGTCTAGAGATATAACAACACAAGTGTACTACTGATTGGGTTGGCCTCTGCTGCAACAGGGGCTCCCCTGTGGGAAGGAAGCCTATGGTGCCAAAACTGATGATTAATTAAGGTTCATTATGATTCAACGTGGGCAGCAATTCCAAATTATGGAGTACAAAGAAGACACTGATAAATGGGGAGATGAGAAAGGGAACTAATGTTACTGAGTAGCGACGCTTTGCCATCAGGCATGTTATTTCATTTAGTTCTCTTCATTTAACCACTCTTTTTGTTTTATTTAATTCTTACAACCACCCTCTTTGATGTGGAGGAAACAAATTCCCAGATAACTTAAATAACTTTGTTTCTATAGCTAGTGAGGGTCAATTTCACGATTCAAGCCCAGATTAGTCTCACACTAAAGTCCATCAAGACACCTAAATAAGCTTGATTATTAACAATTCTATATCCGTGATATCTCTTACTCTACCTATAAATCCTCATGTCTCAGTATGTTCATAAATTCACCATTAAAACAATGAATAATTAGGACTCCTTACATGATACAGTCCAGAGCTCACATCTTGAACATTTATTGGCAATATATTGGTGTGATAACAAGGTTACAGGTTTTTGTCGGTCACCCAGAAAGCACCACCATGAAGGAGTCCCCAACTTCTGAATCAGATCCTCAACTTTTTAGGGGCAGAAAGTTAAATATTCAAAGACTCCAAGAGTGGTTCAGTCTGACAAAAGATGAACTCACTGTAGCCAAGCTCAAAGGAGGCAGTAGTACATACCAGACACCAAATTCCTAAATCGCCAAATCCCCATCGTGGAGGGGAGGTATGGGCAGGGGGAGATACTCTTCAGCCATAAGAAGGCTCAAGTCACAGTCTTGTCCCTAGAGCCCCTCCTATCCTACTCTTTCCCCCTGGCTCACTCTGCTTCAGCTACCCTGTCCTTCCTCAGGCACACCAAGCACACTTCTGCACCCAGGCCCTTGCACTGGCTCTTCCCTCAGGCATTTGCTTGCTTCCTTCTTTACCTCTTTCATTCAGCTTGTCGGTGAGACCTTCCTGGCTGTATATCTAAATGTCTAACAGGAGCTAACTCTCTCACTCCTTCCTGCTTTATTTTTTTCACCATAACACTTAACCACCATCTCATACAGAATGGACTTTGTTTTAATAGTTTCCTGCAACCAGGATATGTGCCTTCCATAGAAATTGGGTCTGTTTTCATTCCCTGGTATGTCATCAGGGCATAGAAAAATTCCTGGCAGGGAGTGAACACTCAATAAATATTTGTTGAAGGAATGAATGAATCAATTAAGCAAGCAAGCAATATTTTCTATCCAGGGCACCTTCATTTCAGGCATTGATATAGCAGGAAAATCCAATTAATTATGAGAAGGCTGCTGAGTGAGTCTGAAAGCAGAGCAAGAAAGAGTGGATAATATTAATGTTTTCATCCAGGCTACCCTGTGTAGACCCCCAGCCTAAGTGTCTCACTCCCTAGACAGGAATGGCCACTCACAGCAGACTTAAATCCCTATTGCTTGAGCTGACCTCCTTCGTATGGTTGGTCCCTCCTTTGTTAGGTTTGATTAGTACAACGATCTGGCACATTCAAGCCTAGCTCTGGCTTAGAAGCCATTCTCTGAGTGACGTTGAATACATATGTCTTATGTCACCAATCATGTTGATTTTATTATAACAAACTCAAAATTGTAAAGCCACCAATCATCCTCACTAGCAATCTCTTATAATGAGGAAGCAAGAAGAAGAAATCGATGCCCCCTTATTCGTATTTTAAGACATCAGATAAAACTATTTGCATGGATTCGCAGTGTTACAGCTGGTATGAGAACCTCATGTTGCCTTATTCATAGGTGACTAATGATGTTGCTTGACTATCTCCTTTCTAGAGTCTCTTTCCATTCTCTCATTTACCATCTCTCCCCTTAAACATGTGTATAAATTAGCC